GAAAATTATTAGGTCATATGGTATAAACATTTTCAAATCCACTAGACATGTAGCCAGAAACACCTGGGACCTTGTCACCATAGCTGAATCAATGAACACAATGACAAGGGATCGAGGACAAGATAAATGGTTTAATTTTGCCAGCAAAATGAGGCTGCAAGTGGGCTCATGCTCCAAGACCCACAGTCCTCTCAAGGCATTAGGAGTTGGGGTTTTTAAAGGAAAATCTGTAGGAAAGAATGTACTCTTCATGACTGATTGTTTGCTGGGGTGGAATATTGTGGGGGTCCCAGACATTCTGGCACCAGGCCAGCTGTTATCTTTACAGCAGGCAGTTTAGGGTTCCATTGATCAATCTTCCCACACCATCAGAAACTAGGCCCTGGGGAGAGGAAGGAAACTGCTGCCAGTTAACAATTAAAAGTTTACAAGGTTTGAGATGGGGAGGGAGAGCTGTGGCTTTGCACTTTTGTGTCCTCCCATCAGCTTGCAATTGGCCTAGATAAGGGACGCTGCAGATGTCCTCCATTTGTCTGTCTCCGTGATGAATGGTGAGTATGGTGCCAGGAAGCCAAGGAGTTGGTGGGCTTCAGCTTCTCGATAATTTCTGGATATCAGTTTCCCTATAACAAACCTCAAGAACTGGTAATTAGCCAGAGCTTCAGTGTGAAGCCATCTGGGATTTTAACAATTTTTTACCTCCATTTGCCTTATGGGATTCAGTGATACAAATGTTAAAACAACCAATATCTACATGTGAATGTCCCTTAGAGAAGCAGCAAAAGGGAATGAGTGCTTTTTGGTTTTTAACTCCATATATACTAGGTTCATCACAGGGGAACTGATGTCAGGGCCAGCATCAATAAGCGGTTAATTTCCAAAATATATAAAGAAATCCTGCAACTCAATAGGAAAATAAACCTAGTAACCCTATTTAAGAATGAGTTAAAGACTTAAACACACATTTTTCCAAAAAAGACATATAATCGACCAACAAGTGTATGAGAATATGTTCAAAATCACTAATTATTAGGGAAAGGCAAGTCAAAATCACAATGAGATATCACCTCATACCTGTTAAGATGGCTAGTATAAAAAACAAAAGACGGACAAGGATTGATGAGGATGTGAAACAATCCTCATTTCTACACTGCTGGTGGGAATACAAAATGATGCAGCTGCTATGAAAAACAGTATGGATATTCCTCAAAAAAGTAAAAATAGAATTACCTTATAAGCCAGCAATCCCACTTCTGGATATTTCTACAAAATAATTGAAATCAGGATCTTGAAGAGCTATTTGCACTCCCATGTTCATTGCAACAGTATTGACAATAGCCAAGATGTGGAAAGAACCTAGAGGTCCATCAGTGGATGAATGGATAAAGATAATGTGGTATATGCATACGATGGAATAATATTTGCATTAAAAAAGAAGGAAATCCTGCTACATGCTAGAACATGGACAAACATTGAGGATATTATGCTAAGTAAAACAAGCCAGTCCCAAGACAAATACTACAAATTTCACTTAAATAACTTACCTAAAATAGTCAAACCCTTATAATCAGAAAATAGAATGATGGGTGCCAGAAACTGGGGGGAGAGGGGAAATTAGGAGTTGCTAATGAATGGGCATAAAGTCAAGATAAATTAGTTCTAGAGATCTGTTGTACAAGATTGTGCCTACAGTTACCAACAATCTATTGTATACTTAAATATTCGTTAGGACAGTAAATCTAATGTTAAGTGTTCTGAACACAATAAAATGAAATAATAAACTAAACTAAATGAAAATAAAATACAATAAAATAAAAAGTATGAAATACTGATACATGCTACAACAGATGTGAATCTTGAAAAGATTATGCTAAGTGAAAGAAGCCAGGCACAAGAGGTTGCATTTAGTATGGTATCATTTATATGAAATATCCAGAATAGATAAATTCATAGAGATAAAATGCAGATTGGTGGTAGCCAGGAGCTGGAGACGAGGGAAGAATAGGGAGAACTGTTTGGAACTAGATAGAGGTGCGGTTGCACAGCACTATGAATGCAATAATTGCTACTGAATTGTTCCTTTTTTAAATTTATTTTTTCAGTTATTTTATTGAGATCATAATGGTCTATAACACTGCATAATTATTACACAGGTGTACATTATTTGTCAATTTCTGTGTAGACTGCATTGGGTTCACCATCAGTAGTCTAATTTTTCTCCATGACCATATGTATGTGCCCTTTTAACAGTCAATATTATGGTATGTGAATATTACTTCAATAAATTATTTAAAAATAAATTTAGGTATAATTTCAAATGTTTTTTAGTTGCGTGTTTTTTTTAGTGAAGTTCTTGATTTTATATTTTTCCATACAATTTGTATGTCTTCTTGATAATAAATTTGGTTCATTATATACAATAAAATAGTTGTCTTTTCAATTTGTTTATGGTATCTTTTGTTTTGTTGAAGTTTCAGATTTGGTGTAGTCACATTAGTTTGCATTTGAAAATTACTCAACTTTAAAAAACACTTTAATTAAGGGGAATCTATTAACTTTAATATTAACAATGTAACTATGCATTTTCCTAAGTTAAAACATACTTGTTTTTCATAATGATTATTAAGTAGGAATAAAATTGACTTTAAGTATTCACATTAGTCAGTCTTCCATTAATTTGTGTCATAAAAATTTCTTTTCTTATAAAGTTGAAACTCTTTATACACTCCTTCCCCTCCTATTTATCTTGGTTTTGATCCTACTAAGTTTTCTTTTTTACCAGAGATAAACCCTATCATAATTTGTCATTCATACGTAAGTTGTAATTGGTTAACTATATACTGATGTACTCATTAATAAAACACTATAATTCTGCCGATATTTTAATTAATCTATATGATATACTGAATGTCTTATTCTGTAAAGTTTTTTTTTTAATCAGATGTGTGATTTTGTTCGTGTCCATGTTAATTCATTTGTCTATACATTGTTCCCTGATTTTGCTGGGGATGTAAACTTATTAGACATTTAAAAATTGTTTCCCAATGGTTGTAACTTTTACATTCCCACCAGAAGATTAGGAGTATTTCCTTTACTCCATCTATTCATCATCACTTGGTTGTCCCAGACTTTTCAATTTTTGTCAGTGTTATGATTGTAAAAGAGTGTTTTATATCATTTTACATTCCCTTTTCCCAGATCGTTATTAAAGCAGAGTGCATGCATTGGCCTAAACAGGTTTCTTCTTTTGCGAATATTCTGTGTGTATTTTTGTCCATAGTTCTATACAATTTTACTGTATTTATCAATTCAACAGATGCATAATTATATCTATTTTCTTGAGTCTATGCCTATTTCTTTTACTATATTTGTAATTATTTTTTATTCAGACCTTTAAAATTTTAAAGCATAATATTTATCTATCTTCATGATTTTAAGTTGTGTTTGAGGATCTCTTCAATGCTGAATCATACACACACACACACACACACACACACACGTACACACACACACAGGATCAGTCCTCATTTGCAAGGGTTGGTATGAAAGGAGAGTGAATCAGTGATCAGGGTTTGATTTTGACATTTGAAGGACGGAATCATTTGAACAGCAGTGGGATGAACCTTTCAAACTGAAGAAAATAAAGGCTAAGAAGTTGTGGTAGGAATATATGATGGTAAGAGCTGTTCTACATAAGAACTCTTGAATTGTTATTTAAATTTAATAATCCCAAATTAGGGAAATATCCTTAGGTTGGACTCTAATTCTAAGGAGAATGTCACATTGGAATTAAACAATGATACCCCTTGAGGAACAGAAAGATTTTCACAAAGTAATAATTAAAAAGTGAAAAACAAAAATGAAAGAAGGAAGGCCAATGACTACAACTTAAAATTATCTTTTAAAGAGATATACCTTGCAATGAACATGAAGTCTAGTGGATGCGGGGATAAAACATGCACATGGGAGAGACTCCTCTGTACCTTGGTTCTCTGCTGGGGCACTGAGGCATGTGGGATCTGCAAGGGCATCAGAGAGGGGTAGGAATCAAAGGAAAAGAGAACTAGAAGTTGAGTCAGAGCCAAGTCTTCAGGAACCCCTAAAAATGGGGCATGGCTTAGTGGTGGGAAGAGCTCAATCTGCCTGACAGGTATACCTTATTCTCTGAATCGTGGTTTGTTTTTGTTATTCTTGAGTTTAAGCATGATCTTCATAAGTGCTAATGCCTAGACTTTGTTTTCTGTGAGAAATGAAAGATGGATTTAATACCCATGATCTGGATAAAATAACTAAATAAGGAGAAATGCACATTCACAAATCAGCACGGTAATGACGCCAGGAATTTGAACACATTTTCTGTGGTCCTCGAACCACAATTGATGATTAGATTGGTGCCAATACATAGGTCTAAGGACGGATGCAGAGTGCTTTGAACTGGAGTCAGAGAGCAATGACTCCATGGAAAGTGGTCTGAGATTATGTGAACTGTGCTTTGCTATTGATTAGGGGGTATTTGATCAAGCTAGTCAGATATAGTGTTATTTATAATTGCAATTATTGGAGCCTACATATTTGAGTCATATGTAGATGAGAGAAAACAATATACAATATTCTAAAGATTAAATACATGTATGCCTGTGATTGTGCATTTCTGTTATATCAATCAGTATAGCTTCTACATGCATATATATACGTGTGTGTGTATATATATATCAGTAGGAACGTATTAAGAAGCAAATGGATGATACTGTTTTTTTCTGCATATAAATATAGTCTACATACAACTAGAAGGATGTGCAGCTACGACATGCAACTATCCACTGGGGCTTTGGGGGGAAAAAATAAAATAAATAAAATCTTTAAATATAGTCTACATAAAGCACTGACTATAATCTTTATTTTAAAGAATCCAGGAAAACAAAAATATATTAATAAACTAAACATTTTCATCATATCTTCTTGATATTGAGGCACAGAACATCACTCTCAATTTTTTAAATTTAATTTTTATTGCGAACATATACTTTAGTGATGAACCATTTTTTCCTAAACATTTTTTGCATTGCCTCTTTTACATCTTTGTTCCTCAAACTGTAGATAATAGGATTCAGCATGGGAATCACAATGCTGTAAAATATTGATACTATCATGTCATGATCCAAAGCGTAGCTAGAACTGGGTCTCACATACATGAAAAGAACTGTACCATGAAAAATTGACACTCCAGTTAGGTGAGAGCCACATGTAGAAAAGACTTTTCGTCTCCCTTCTGCAGAATGAATCTTCAGAATGGCCACCAGAATGAAACCATAAGAGATCAGGACAATCAGGATAGTGACCATCTCAATAGAGCCCAC